ATATAACGCGAGGGGGGGCGTTATTACGCGCAAATACGGTATAGTTTCTTCGCTTTTTTTTTGTTCTTAGTTGCATCTTTTTTTTTTACCAACATATTTGTTTTATTCGTCGTTGGGAGTATTCGTGTTATTATTATCGTTAAAGTGAGTCGTTTTTGAAATCGTTATGTTTGGTTATATTTACCTTTTTTTCCTTTACTGACGTGTTTCTCTTTTTTCCAGGTGTGATTCGTCGTTGGAGTCGTAGCTGTTGAGAATTATCGTCGCTGAATCAGTATAATTTATTCGTTCTTGGAATAGTTATTAATATGATGTGGATTAGTAGTGTGAATTATATTTATTTTGCGTTAGTGTGAATTTGTTAGTTTCGCCGTGATGATACAATTTCGTAGTATGTTACGCTTGCATTTGTTTTTATTTTTAATTTAATAGTAGTACGATTTTATCGTTTGTTACGCTTGCATTACGTTATTAATTTTTTTTTTTAATTAAAAGTGATACAATTTCAATAAAATTACATGTATAAAAAAAAAAGTAAACGTAAAGTTTTTATAATCATAAATGTAATTTTATGGTGCCTTATCTGGGCTTCTAGTTGAAGTTATAGAGGAAGTGATTACGATTCTAACGCTGGTAAAAACGTTAAAATCGGCCCAGTGAATCGGGAGATATAAACGAAAAATGTTTCGCGATTCTAAAAAATTTTAAGAATCGCGAAACATTTTTCGCTTATATCTCCCGATTCACTGGGCCGATTTTAGCGTTTTTACCGGCGTCAGAATCGTAATCACTTCCTCTATAACTTTACTTAGAAGCCCATGTAAAGGTTTACTTAATAGAATTACACTTGCAGCCATAAAAACTTTATTTTTATATTTTTTATAATAATATGTAATTTTATTGGTTGATATTTAAGTATGGGTCACGTGATTGTGTAAAAATGTATTTAAAAATGCATGTGATCAATTTTGATTGGTTGATCATAGGGTGGCAATAAATTAACTACCACCCTGTGTGGCACCTAGACAACTCCACTGGTTTTAGTCCACTTGAGACCGCAAATATCAACTGTCCTATTATCAAGTTTTACACCATGATTCCTTATGTAATCGTCAACCATTCTGCGCGTAATACATATAATATGTTGCTGGTGCCTTTGTTGCGCAAACTCCTCGTTACGGTGTAATTGGTACTGTGCTTGTTGAGGGCTATTATTATGTGTCTGTTGTTCATGATGATCATGTTGTTCAGTACCGTTAACAGCATGATTATTTACATCATTAGTGATGGTAGCATAATTAACGCTGTTACCATTGGGATTTCTGTACTTGAGAAAGCCCATCTCCTGGAGAGTACATATAATGTCTTCTCTACGAATACTCGTCATCAGAGAAATTTCGTTAATAGTAATCATGAATCTCCCGTTGTCATTATGTGACGTTTCGCCACCATTCATAGAACTTGCGCCTTCTTGGACTTTGTATAGATTGGTTGTATGATCTTGGAGAATTTTCAGTATTGTACGTTTCCAATAAGAATGGTATCCTTTAATACCCAAATCTGATATTGGTCGTTCAGGAGATCCAATTTTATGCTCCCTTTTAGAGAGCTCGTAGCCTTATAAAATGGTGTGGA